GTCTGTCGCTTATGAAAACTTGTAGTGACACAGCTTTGCTCTGCAGATCTACACATATGTGACCCGTCACATCAAAATGAGGATTAAGTCCAAAAGTGGAATGTGGAAAAATAGGCACATATATGGTTTTGATTTAATCGTGTGCAAAAATTGCATTTTGTCAAAATATAATGAATAAATGCCTTATCATTTTGAAGCATTTTTTGAGCAGTAGCAATAAAAAACCTGATTTTGAGGAAAAATTACTTAAAATTTTGAATTTTTCCATGTGAGCTAGCAATGTTTTTGTTTCTTTCTACCTGGGAAATCTTAATACACAAATACTATTTGAGGTTTCGTCTTTATATTAACATAAAAAATTACTCAAATTTACATAAAATTAGGATTCAGACCAAACAGTACTGTGTTATTGTAACCAACAAGACAATTAAATCATATCTCTGGATAAACTTATGAAATCAGGATGAACCAGGTATCAAAATGTAGCTTTTAAAGCAGGAAAATGAAAATATAGTTAGGCCATTTTGAACAAGTTTGACTTAATCCTCATTTTGATATGATGGGTCACAAATTATGAGGTATGTCAACACTTCAGCGATGTACTTTATGAACTAATAATTTTGACTCCAGCTTGTTTGGAGGATGAGCACTGAGATCCTTCACCACCATCCCAACTCAACAGGGGTCGACTACAACAGCGTCTATGAACGAATGAAGCACTCGGGTGTTAAACTTTACCTGATGGTATGTTGGTTCAAGCCCGGTGCAGTTCTTTTTGTTTTGCTGAAACTTTTTGTTACAATGCCCTTTTGTTTTTAATTTAAATAAAGATTTGCCTGGAGCATTCCTTCCACCTGATGCTCCACGGTCAGATTGAAGAAGCGAAGCAACAGCTGTCTGTCGCAGAAAGCTGGCGTTACGGGAAGGTGTCCAACGCTCAGCTTCAGAGGACCAAATTGATCCAGGCCTACAGGAGCTTGTTGGATTATATCATGTGGTGGGAGAAAATGTCTAACCTTTCCAAAACCGGTAAGGCAAAACACAAATGGCATCTATTTASCTTTTTAACAGAGCATTAACCTTTGTGTGATATTACACTGCCCCCTAAAGGATAGAAAAGGTAACTGCAGGTGTAATAAACCRTCTAGGCCATGGGTGTCCAAACATTTTGTCACATKGGCCAAAATCATAAAGTCAGAAGGACTTGAGGGCCAAAAATATTTTTCTGTTACCTGCTCAACAATAAACTAAGCATTGAATACTTTAATTAAACAAASAAAGYAGTCAGATTTATTGCTGGAAAWGGATGYATAAATTAATCTAGATCCAGAACTTTAAAAGTGTTTTGCAGGTTTCYCTTATTAAAAGAAAATTTCTAGGTTTMATTTGGGRAAAAAATAASCCAAYTTAGTCAATTCTGATCAATAAAATCAGGATTTAGATCACTCTTTCATTAGAAAATGCTTGCTGCGTTCAGACAAATTTAATGAAATAATTAAAAGCAGACTGGAGTGCAGCAAAATCAGCTTTTCAGTAGAAGTCACTAGATAGATGTGGAAAAAGCTAAGAGCCTGGTTGTTTAAAGACAAACAATTGGTTTTATTGCCAATATTTTTTGTTATAAGATTTTACTTTTTGATAAATTTGTCCTAATAATTAATAGAAAGTTTCCATCTACATCAAACACCTGTGCCAGGGGGGACAAATTTGTAAACAAATTAGTATAATTTTAGAACTGAAGTCAGGGGCCACATAAAATCGAATTCAAGGGCCACATTTTTGGACATCCCTGACCTAGTCTGACTTTATGACATAAGTCTCGTTACGTGATGCCTGTTTTCAGACTGTTTCGACCCAGACTACCAGGGCATCCACACTTACTTCCGACAAGCTTCTGTGAATCTTCAGGACATTTTGAAAAACCCAGGAGTCTGGGATCCTTTCATTTTGAGCTACATTGAGGTAAACATTCACATTTTAGTTGTTTATATCTGAAGTGTGGGTTTTCTGTACAACTGTTGATTTGTGTAACCTTCACTCAACAGAACCTGGGGTTTGTTGGTGTAAAAACCGAGCATCTCACTTGTGTCCTCTGTRTACAGGATTGATATGAATTGATCATGAACTTGATTGGAGAACTTTTCTCACACAGTAATAGTCAGTTATTTTGGACACAAATACTAGCTTTCTGCACTATAATGAACCTGTTTATCATCATATTAACAGTCTTTGTCTCAAGTTGTTGTATCCATCATTAACTTTTATCTCTTTCACATGTARCTCTTCTTTTATGCAGGTTATAATGAGTTTACTGACCTGTCCCTGCATTATCTTACCGTGGTTTTATGTTGGCAGATGTTAGAGTTTTATGGGGATCACGAAGAGGCTCTTAAAGTCCTGAATAACTACGCATTCGACAACAGTTTTCCACCCAATCCCAACGCACACGTGTACATATACCAGTATTTAAAGAGGCACGATGCTCCAGAGAAGAAGCTGATGAAAGTCTTAAAGGTAAAACAGTAACGTTTGTATGTTTCCATATTAGTTGGAGCTTGTATCTGCCACATGTTAAAAACAGGACTTTATTATTATTATTTTTTTGTTTGTTTGTTTTAGAACATCCAGGTTTTAGTTCCAAGCCATGAGTTGATGTTGGAGTACAGCTCCCTCCTGCTTCAGTCAGGTTAAAGTTTTCACTAATGATTATGTTAAATAAAATATACAAAATTATTTTTTTAGCCAAATAATTTGCGGTGTTGCCTCCCAAATGCTAATTTTTCTACATTAATGTTTATTGTTGTTTTAAGAGAAAACAAGCGACACTCAGAAAGCTTTAAAAGTCCTCCTTGAGATGCTTGACTTCGGCTGCTGGAGGAGCARCCTGGACGTGTGGAAGTGTTTACAGGCCGTAATTCATGACCTGCAATTACAGTGTGTATAGCTTCTTAGAAATATTAATAATTTTAATACCATAATTAATATTCATATATTTCCCCTCAAACATTTAACCGGCCACTTCTGGTTTTCCTGTGACATAGTAAAGCCCGTTTTGTGGGTCTGCTTTTATTTTGAAACAGGGACGACTGGGAGAGCGTTGTCTGGGGACTCATGGAGGCGAGACGAGAATTTTGGCCCGCGATGCATTTCACCAGCTTCCACGCCGCGACAGACTCCGAGGAGAACCCTGAACTTTTGAACGTAAAGGCATCGCTCACAAAAATCCTTTGCCCAGGTCAGTGGATTTAAAGTTTTAGATAAAGTTCTTGTGTGGACTGCTTTTGATTGGGATGCTTGTTGGGGGTGAGGCTCAGCTACTACCACACCAAAATGTCACTTAATATCTTTTTTATTAAAAAAAAAATCACAGAAATTTAGCAGTTTTTAGATTTTCTATAGTTGATCTAATTTTTTTTAATAAAACCAAATTTATATTTATTGCAGCATCTAGTTTACCACTGACTGGTTTATCGTTTATATATTTTTATATTTGTTTATTCAATTTATTTTATTCGTAAAAACAAAACAATCTATATACAGTAAGATAAAAAGTAAATTATGCCGTGAATGAAAAGGAAGCAGAGTGAAGAAAGAATATTATCGTATCTGCCTCTTATTTTATGTGTTTTTTTTGTTTTTAAGGTACGTTTAAAAAAGCATGTAAGAGTTTGTGTGAATATTTAACCATTTTACTAGTCTGACACTTGAAAAAATGTTCATGTTTATTTTTAGATCCTCTATATTTGTTTATTTCTCTTTTTAGATCAAACTCTGAGGTACACCGCAGAGCAGTCAGTGGATGGAGAACAGAGTCAGAGACATTAAACTGTTTTGTCTGTGAGTAAAAACAATTTCAGTCTGTGTCTGAGGTTGTTTAATAAAATATTCTGCACTGTAAAAACTGTTATTTTTGAGGAACAGTGCCTTGAGGTGTTGTTAGCATTTTGCCACCAGGTGGCGCTCTTGTTCTGTAGTTCTGAGGAGCAGCAGAGACGTAGTGGAAATCTGTCAGGATTTTTTCTTTCTTTCTGTTTTAATAAGAGCTGAATGTTACATGTTTGTTGGTTTGAGGCGTTTTATCGTCAGTAAATTTTATTTACGTCTCAAACTGAATATTTTTGTTTTGAATTTACATGAAGTAAAAAGAAAACGAAGCAGCACCTTGTTCATTTTATTCAGACTCAGTTTCAGTCTTCTGTTCAGACGGGTGATAAGAGTCAGTTATTTATAAGACTCTGTCAACGCAGCTGCAGCAAGGAGGCTCGTCATTTTTTATGTCTTTTTATTTATTCTCTGGAAGAAGAGTTATGTTTGTGGACACTTCTAACATCTCGACCCCGGCCTTCAAACTCGGGGCTCGTTTGCACGCAGCCGTCAAATAAAGCCTCGCRTCCAGTGTTGCGCCTGTTTTAACAGGAGGAAGGGTCGGCGATGGTTGAGTTTCGGCTCTCCGCAGCGTTTGCTTTGCAGCGGCTCAGTCAGCCATGCTGGATGTGTTGCTTTGCAGTCGTTACGTAAACCAAAGCCCGAAGCGTTCGCCCGACAACAGAAGCAGCTGGAGAAGACATCTGGGAAAACACAACACATGTCCTGTCTTTGAAAATTCAGAACTCTGGGAGCAACGAGGAGGATGGAGTCAGGAGCTGTTTTGTTGGTCCTGCTTAGGTTTTTTTTGTTTTTTTTTTATCAGGGCACTTCTGAGTTCAGTTAATCCTCTACAAAGATGTTCCCAGTCGAGTCAGGCTGCTGTTGAGTTGCTCGTTTGAAGGGTTTTCTATTTATTTTTTTCTCAAAACTTGAACCGTTGAAGACACTCAGTCACAGTTTTATTCCTGGGAGACATTTTGAAACGACTCGATTGTTATTTATTAATTAAACTTTAAGAAAAGGAGCTGATTGGATTGGGTTTTATGTTCTCCTCGACCTCGGCCGGCAGACAAACCGTCTGACATTAGGGGTTGATGTAATCGCCCGTTCGAGATCACCRAAAGTTGTGAACAATAGAAGTGTCCCCAGTGACCCGTGTTGCTTCCTGAAGCAGCTGCTTGGATCTGAGGGCAGGTTGTCGGATGTTTAACAACAGCGTTGATGAAACCTGCAGGTTTCTTTCTATCTTTAGCTTCCAAACATCGATTAAAACAAGAAACACCAGCTTTATTCAAATCATTAGTCATAATGATTGCTGATTAGAAACATCTGACTTTGATTCATGAGTGGTAAAAGGTTTCCTCCTATTAATGTCTCCATGTGTGAGGAATTAGGCTATGAAAATGTAAAAACTGCAATTACATCGAAACTAAGAATCGAAATTAAAAAATTCTAATGTTTCCGATAGGGGTGTAAGAAAATATCGATACACTGAAATATCGCGATATTTCATTTCCCGGTACTGTATCGATATTCTAAAGCCCTGTATCGATTTTTTAATTAAGGTTTAAAATGTCAATTTTCCTGCCAGCCGTTCATTTTTATGTTGTAGTTCAGCCTCTGACCACTAGTTGGCAGCAGTGAGCCAGACATTTGGCTCGCTATTGTTAAGTGTTGGGTGACCATATTGTAAATTAATATTAAAAACTAAAAGCTGCAAAATATATATTTTCAAACTATTTATTGTCARATTTAGTCTAATAATTGAAAACATGGATGAAATAAGAAATATGAAACAAATAAAATAAAACACATACAAAGCAGAACACAGCTAAATGTATCAAAAGTATGTCTATGTAATATTATAATTATCTGAGACAATGAATTTTGGTTTTTCATTTTTTTTCCTCTAAGAGGTTTTTATTTAATAGAATTTTTGGACAAAAAAATTGCAATATATCGGGATATATCGTATCGTGACCCCTCTGTCATGATATGTATCGTATCACCAAATTCTTGCCAATACACAGCCCTAGTTTCTGAGTGAATATAAACGTTAATCCAATCGATGCTCGATGTCCAGTCCCACGCGTGAAAGTATTTTTGGAATTTATTTCCTGGAAAAAAAGAAATTATATAAGTGTTAATGATTCATAGTTCCTTTTGGGGAACGGATTAACTCATCAGCCAGCCGACCAATGTCGGATTAAAATGATAAGGCTCCTGGACATCACCAGTTCAACTTGGTGTGAAACAAGTTGGAGGAAGTGGTTCCTCTKTTTTGTTTTTGCTTCCATGTGACGGCTCCACTGGTTCCACGAGTTTGATCAGTCAGTGTGAAGCTGTGATGTAAGTTCCCTCAAAGATGGAAATCCACGTTAAGAGTTACTGTAAACCATATCAGAAAAATACCTGAAAACTTTAACCCCCAGTCTAACCCGCAGAGAAACATCTTCAGCCGGTCCTCCCTGTGAACGGACAAGTTTTACTGTGAAAGTGTTGAGATTAGACGAATAATCTATAACTTGAGTTGTTACAGCAAAAAGAAACATAACATTAGCTAGGAGCAAAAAGTAGCAAAAGCCTTGCTCAAAACGCCTGTGACGTGAAATATTTGTAAAAACATGAATGCATTTTTGGAAAGATAACATTGAAAACATAATGCAAAACAAATTTCACGCCCCTGAGATGAACGGTTGTTGAGATGTTTGCTTGTGAGGAAACAGGAAGTGATGTCAAAGGGGAACGTCTGCATGTGAACAGTGCGTTGTTACAACACAGACTGTGGAGAAGAATCTGATGTTTCTTTAGATTATTCTGAGTCTATCAGAGAGATGAAGAAGAGTCAGAGTTCAAATAATATAAACAAAAACCAGAGTTTATTTTATTGAAGAGTTCCCCTTTGATGTCACTTCCTGTTGCACTTTACCTTTGCTAATTCCAAAACGAAATAGGCCAGTTATGTGGCAAAATAGGTAAAATCATGTGCATTATGCCAATTTTCTTAAGTATAAAGATGTTTTCTTTGAGTCTTTGTATTTGAAGGACAGGCATGTCACAGGTGCTTTAAAGCTAAAAGTAATACAGGCTAATTAAAAGTAGCAAAAAGCTACCTAGAGGCTAGCTAGAAGCTAAATGTAGAAAACAGGATAGCTAAACTAGCTGAACGGTTGGCAAAAAGTAAAAGCAGCATAAAGCTAGTTTTATAGTTAAAGAGGATATTTCTGAAGGAATTGAAGACATTTTAAATATTTGTTTACAATTAAAAAAACATAGTTCCCATCTTTTGAAGAAGCTGAACACTTTAATATTTGAACAYGTAAATTAGTAGTTGCAACGTTTTAATTTAAAACCTGACCTGCGAGAACAGTCACGTGTTCCTTTGCTCTGTGCAGGTGACATTAAGCTCTCCATCCTCTCAAAGTCCTGCTCGGCTGCTCTGTAAGGGTCCGAGGATTTGAAACCTAAAATCAGGCCTTTCCCACAGCAACGTCGTGCAAGATCTCCGGAGCTCTGCAAGACATCTGAAGCGTGCTGGGATAGAAAATAGGAGGGGAAGTGTGATAATCCAGCCGTGCAATTTGGACTTAACATGCCCAAGTGTTCAGCAGTGCTGCAAGCCTCGAGCGGGACGGAGATAAAACAGGAAAATACAAGGCTGGAGTCAAAGCTGCAGCTCAAAACACCACCCAAGATCAAACTAAGAAATAAAAGGGAATTTTACAAAGTGAACGAATGGAAAATCCTGCTTTAATTAAATGGCTTCGGAGCAGAACGACCAGAAAGTAATGGAGTGTTTTTTTTAAACATGATAACCAAAGTGTTACAATAGTGACAGCTACTGAGACAAACTGCTGGAGGGGAGCTGATTCGTGTGAAGATGAAAAAAAAAAGTTATCCCAAAATATCTTTTCCATTCTGCCCTGTGATTTTGAAAGTGACAACTGCGATACCTTTGTTCTCAGAGTGCAGCTGTAAAAAATAATAAAAAAAGCTTTCAATAATAGAAGAATAGGAAGTGTGTGAGCTGGTTTCTGCTCAGCTGTGTGTTCCAGCTTGTGAACTCGTCTAAGCTTCACCTGAAGACAGTCGCCCAAGAATATTATTCAACCTGGGATGATTGATCAGGACTCACGCTTAGATTATTTTTTTATTTTCTCAACGCATGTATATTGCAACTACCCACTGATTATTTTAAAGTGGTTTACTAAACTAAGTTTTCTTCAACATAAATAAAACCGTGTGGTAGAGCAAATAAACGTTGCTGTTTTCTTTAAATGTAATCTCTTTTTCACGCTCTTATCTTCCGAACTGATGAGTGCTGTTGTTACACAAAGATTTGAAAATGAGTGGGTCTCGGTAAACATGTAATCTTGGATTTTTCACCTCCCGTTTGATTTGCTTGATTCAAAATCAAATGTCAAAAAAGTGTAATGGATATTTATAGTTCTAGGCAGGTGATGTCATTTTCAACCGAACACAAATGCCCCTTTTTGTTTCACACTTTGAATTTTGTAATCCTCCGAAACTTCACTGATGTAATACCAGGTAGGCTGATTCTCTGGAAGCCCGACGGTTACCTGCACCAACCACAATGATTCATGAGCCCACTGACTCACGCCGGCCCCACTCGTCTGTACTCTAATGAGCAGAAAAACAAAACGGCGAAATCAGCGTGACCCCGAGAAGCTTTTGTTTGTCGGCTGTCTTACCTCTGGGGAGCTCGTGTGGTTGGAAAATACAACCTAACCTGATGCATTTTGAATGAATGTGGGCGAGGGTGACCCGTCTGTCTCTGTGTCTTTGTTTCTGTGTTTACTCACCCCTCTGTGAACAAGAACTTCCTCTCACCCACCATTTTGTCTGCTGAAGGAGACGGTGACGTCAGTACCGTTTAAAAAAAAGTCACACATTTCGTACGAAAAGGTTGACAGAGCTGTGGAAGAATGAAACAAAAACTTAAAGTAGGAAATTAGTTTGAAACCTTGTAAAAGTAATGTTAGCCTTTTTTTAATTAAAGCATGAAAATGTCAAAGTTAGCGACACGTTAGCATACTATAACAAGCTAGTCTTCCATGTTCGTGTCCAGGAAAATTATCACAAAGGTCTTTAGGAGTTCAGTATTTACAAAAAAAAAAAACTACAGTTTTATTTTTAAAAGTGTCGTTTGAAGCAAAGGGTACAAGTTTTCCTTTGGGCTAAGCTAATGGCTATCCGAACGACGGCCCCTATTATGTGGTTTTTCAGACTCTTTCTCAGAAATGTCGTACCTGTGTAAAACGACACAACATGAGCTAACCTTCACATTCTTGCATGACACTTCTGTTTGTTTTGTTAGTCACTATTTTCATTCATGACATTGCTCCGATGAGAAAACRGTAACAAACTAAATGTCGTGTAAAAAGTGGAGGTTTTATTATCTGGTAGTGAATGATTTTCTTGCAGCGGTAAGGAACTGACCCTCATTTGTCTAGTCATTAGCCTGACCTGGAGGAAGACTTGAACCTCTTGTTTCGTTAAGGACGATCATTTCAAAAGTGACCAGATTATCCTTTACATTTTACACAATCTCACTTCCTTTTGTGTTCAAAAGAGTGCGATGGTGCACAACAAGCTGATGTTTCCCTGCCATGGCCTTTATATTTTGCTGTTTGTGTGTCTCTGTGCTGCGTTTTGATGTGTGTTAGGTCAGATTAACAAATGGTAAGGCCGGTGGCAGAATGAATAACAGCATTACCCAGTGAACAATGGCAGTGTGGGGCTAAAACCCTTTCACAACCTGTCTGACAGCTCGAAGCGCTGATGTCATCCTCTGACTCAGGCCGTTAMTGCCGCCGCTGTCACCCTGGACGTTTGGACGCCTGACATCAGCGGTGACACACATGGCTCTCTGAACCCTCTGAATCCTTCATCGGTTCCCTTCTTACGGCCTCGTCCACCTCCTGTCATTTAGAAACTCATCAGCTGCGGACCGCCGCTCTGTCAGGAGGAAAAAGCACACAAAACTAAATTAGGTACTCTTAGAAAATCAGATAAAGAAAAGACACAAAAAATGCTGATTCATGTAATGAGGATTTATCATTTTTTGTGTGTTATTGGAGAAAGGTGTACCTAATTCAAAAGGACACTTTTTATTAGGCTCTATTATAAAAATGAAAATAAAAGGTGTAGAATTCCTGAAATAATGGAGTTGTAGCCAAACCTTSAAATTAATTATATGAACAAACTTAATCTCATGCAATAGGCTGATATTTTGTGTGATCTGTTATATGGGATAAATCGTGCCAGCAGGAATTAAATTTGAATTGCTCATATTGAATCTGAATGTGCATAATTTGAAATTGAATGCATTAGTTTGAAAATGAATTTTACTAAATTGAAACTGAATTTAACGGTTTGAAACTGAATTTAAAGTTTTTTATCTGAATTAATTTGCTTTGAAACTGTATTTTGGTTTATTAAAAATTCAGTTTGACTACTTTCACTTTCAGTTCCATARTTCAGATTTTTGTGTCACATCCTGGTCCTTGAGAAAGCCAGGCAGAGTAATCAAACACAGATCCACAGATTTATGTTTCACTTTGGTGAAGTTTCCCTTCTGGATGTAACAGAGTTGATGCAATCCACTGTAAAAGTGACAAAAACAGACAAAGTTATTTTATTGCAGTGATTAATTTGACCTATATGTAGAAAATGTTACATTTACATCACATCATGGATCAGTCAGCAGCAGCATCTGATCAATATGTGATCCATGATGTCATGTAAATGTAACATTTTCTACATAACTTACAACCTGGAACTGAAAATATGGATGGAGGACAACAGAGCTGCTTCATGGAAGAAGAACCTCAGCTTAGCCTGTTAGCTTTAGCGTTAGCCTCGATGCTATCACCATATATATGTATTAGCTCAGCGCTACACATTCTCCTCATCACTGAGGTCCTCCATCCACATGACAGAGAGGGGAACACAAAAATGACTCAGTCTGTAACTGAAAATATGGATGGAGGACCTCAGTTTAGCTTGTTTGTCGCGCTGAGCTAATACATATAAGACAATGTCGGCACTAGCATGAAGGCTAACAGGCTAAGCTGAGGTTGTTCTTCCATGAAGCAGCTCTGTTGTCCTCCATCCATATTTTCAGTTCCAGGCTGAGTCATTTCTACCTTCTCCTCTCTGTCAACGCTCTCTGGTTTCATTTAAAAGAGTCGATCATCAGATATTGTCCAAGATTAACCTTCAGGGTGGATATAGCTCGCTAGCAGCCTCGCACCGAGGACCTATCCACGTCATCATTTACCCAGAATGCTTTGTGTGGAAATAAAATGGCTCCGTCCGTGTTAAAATATATTTTTAAAATTTACAAAACTAAACAGCCTACAGTATTTTTACAGTTTTAATTTTACAGTTAAAATAAATGTTTATCAAATAAAGTCTAATGTTACAGTTAATTGTGGATCTCTTTAAAAGATAATTTATTGTCATTTCAACCCCTAAATGCCATGGGAATGTATTTGTTATTTAGTTTATTATGTTTGTTTTAGTTCATTGTTCCCCATGCATTTTTAAAAATAAAAACCAAATTATTAGTGAAATTTTTTGAGGACCCCCCCAAGATTCGTACCTCTCACGGACCCCAGAGAACAGAATTACAGAATTCTTGTCCTGATAGGGTCTTTTCAAAACTGGACCACAGCTGCAYGCAGAGGCTAAAAGCTCGGCCTCCTCTGGGAGGAATCATTCAGACCTAAAATGTCCATGCAGCAGGTGATCCCGCCGCCCCCCTCCTCGCACCGTCCTCCCCCTCGTYCTAGAAACTGTTGCTGTTTAGACACGATCACCACAGGGAGACTCATTTATATTTTGTCATCCTTCTGTTTTAAGTTTTGACTTTGAGAGCAACGAGTTCATCTGACAACTTCCTCGGCTTTCCTTTTGAGCGTTTCTTTTTTTTTTTTGGTTTATAACCTCTGAGCAGACACCATCACTGAGGGAGATGGGTATAAATATCAGGGGACATCATCAACCTCCCTCCCACCCCCACCGTGTGTGACCCGTTTGGGTTAAGGTCAGGGTTAAAATAAGATCCGTCTGCAGACGCAGGGAAAAATATCTGCAGTTTTTGGATACCGTCGAAGCCCGAGGTGACTTTTCTGCGCCGTATCTGCAAGAAAAAAGAACCCCGCGGGGAAACGTTTGGAGGACTCGGTTGCTAACCGAACAATATTTGGTTGTTCCTTAGTGACGGTGAGGATGAGTCAGCGCTCGTCTGGCGAGGGGACATGCCAACGTGAACACTGAACAGACTGGTCGAACTGGGGAGAAAATAGGCTTGTTATGAGTTCAGTGATGRAGCTGTTATTGTTAGGTGTAAACTGTACCTCTCTGGGTAATCTGTCACAGCTGCTGGCCTACACACAGACACACAACACAAAGAGCAGATGATTTCACTTTCACTGCCCACATCTGGTTAATAAGCTGCTTTCAGAAGCTCCTCCACCTTCAACTGGAACTTCCCTGGTTTCAGAAGAAGGCGTGGATCACCAGACGTCTGAGATATGATAAATAAAAAGTTGTGAAGATGACCCTTACTTACACACTAATATCTTAAACTTGGTTATTTTTAGGCGTTCAGGAAGTGCTATTTAGAGTTAAATCTTTCAGATAATAGCCTATTTAACTTGAAGTGTAACCRCAACCTAGAAAAACATAAAAGAAAAAGATTTACCCCCTGATTCAGCTCACAAATACAGCAGGTAAAATAAGTATTGAACACGTCACCATTTTTCTCAGTAAATATATTACTAGAGGTGCTAATGACATGAAATTTTCACCAGATGT